GGAGTCGAGGCGCGCGCAGCTATGGGCCCCGGGTCCTGGAGAGCTCCCGGGTCGCCGGCCCTGCGGCTACTGTGGCTACTGCGACTCCCGTGGCTGGTGTGGGGGGCCGAGGCCTTTCACGGTGAGTGGGAACGCGCCCCCAGGGGCGGGCCTGGTCACTGGGAGGGGATGAGGGTTTGAACCTCCNCCCCCCGCCTAGGCACCCGCGGCCAGGCCAGGGAACAGGGCGAGTTTGGGAAAGTGTCCCTGGGACCTGTCCAGGGATCCTCACTTGTCCTTAGGCTAAGGGCCCAGACTTGCACGCTCTGCCAACGCCCGCTGTGCTCACGGCAAAGCAGAGTGGTGGTGAACCTTACCCTCTGAGCAGAGGCCCAGCCCTCAGACCCCTCTGCCTGGCTTCTGGGGCAGGCCCTATCCTCCAGTGGGAACATTCCTGCACCTCCATCCCTCAGGGCTCAAGGGTCTTCCTCCTCTGGAAAGCCCCCAGCCCACTGGCCCCTGGACTCCCTGCTGTGATCTCAGACTAGGGGACTGACTGTGACCTCCACACTCACATCACCCAAGCTCACCCCCCATCCTAGGGCCTTGGGACAGTGTGTAAATTGTTCATATTGTTGCCATGTTGGGTTAGATAAAGTAGGAGGGCTTCTCACAGAAGGTGCCTGTTTAGGAGGGCAGGGGGTGAGGGGTGAGACTGAGGCCAGTCTCTTCCTGGTGTAACCTCTCGGAACCCTCTGTGAGGTGGGGCTGCTAACAGCAACTTCTCAGAGTGGGCGGGAGGACTGGCCCAGGCCCTTCATCAAGTGTCTGGGAGGGGTCAGGGAGGAGGCAGGACAGGCTGGGCTGGGGAGCCCATGGGGGTGAGGGGGAGGTTGCAGAGCACGTGAAGGGGGGACCCAACAGGGATAGGGTCCTATCTGTTCTGGACCCTCAGGGGGAGAGACAACAGTCCTCATTCTCTTGGTGATGGTCCCAAGGCATTCCACGGATTCCCCCTCCATGTGGAGTCTGGAGGGTGATGCAACCCCTGGGAGGAGTGGATAGGGGCTCCGTGCTCCCCAGCACCACACTGGCTCCCCTAGTTCCCACTCCCATTCACTTAGTCACCACAGCTCCATCTCTGCCTCCCTCTCCCTCATCAGGGTGCCAGTGGCCAGTGTGTGTGCACTGGGCCATGAGGAGAACCCCAATGCTTACCCTCCCCTCTGCCCTGGGAGGCCTGGGCCTAGCAAGTCCTGGTTCTCCACACCCAGTTAAGTCCCCTCTGGGCTAAGAGAACCTCCCCTCTCCCCAGAAGCACTCAGACCCCTCCTCACACTCACTCTTCAGTCTGATGGCAACTGCTTGATGGCAACTCACTCATCCAATCAGGGAGGGCTTCTTGGGGGAAGGGAACTCCTGGAGCTGCTGCTATTCCATGTCTTTGATGATGGGGCCTGGGGAAGGAGTTGGGGTGGCCTGGCAATGGCTGAGCCACTTCCACAGACAGTCCTCTCAGCCTGGGTGGAGGTAGGGGAGCTGCCAGTTCTGGGAGCTGGGCTTCCCCAGGACTGAGTGCCAGGGGGGTGGGAGGGCTGCTTGCAAGCTCTGGGCTGCCTGGGGCCTGGCTCCTGCAGGGGGCTGTAATGAGAGTTACTGCGGCCCTTGGGAGGGGAGGCTTTTGGGGGCATTCCAGGGGAGCATTCCAGCCTCCTCTGAGTAATGCTTGGCTCCAGTATTCCTCCTGGAGCCCCCTGAAGCACACCCCGCCCAGGAGCACTCAGGCTCTGTCCTCCAGGCTCTCCCCTCTGAAGACATGAGGAGAAGGCCCCTGGGCCAAGGTCCCTGGAAGCCCCACTTCCAGCATGAAGCCCTTAAGGGCAGCTCTGAGCAAGATGGGCCTCCCAAGAAAACATCTAGCTGTTGTTTTTCTCAGAGGATGGTGGAGACACAGGCATCTTCTTCACAGATCTCTCACCCTAAAGGCATCTGCTGCCCAGTCTAAAAATACCCAAGGCTGCCTCCCTCTTGCTTTCCCCCTGCACTGGTGGCCTTGGTCTCTTTCTTGTGACCTTTGACCCCAAGCCCTCCCTCAAGGTCAGTGGGGCTCAGGCATCCCCCACTGAACTATCCTTCCTAGGTTCCTCTGTCTCTCTTCTGCCACTTCCCTGGATGCTCCTCAGTTCCAAGGACACCCCGTGGATTGTTGAAGACGGGTGTTCCTCCCTGCTGCCGTCCTCTAACCCCATCCCTCTGTTGTCCCCACTCCCCTCTGCTCCTCAGGTTCCCCCTCACCCTGTGCTCTGTCCTCACACTAGGAAACACCCTTGGAGAGCCAGTCACCCCTCACTGGGTCCTGGATGGACAAGTCTGGCGTATGGTCACCCTGGAGGAGCCGGTCAGTGCCATATCATCCCTTCTTTGCAGGTCCCCAGATCTCCCAGCCCCTTTGCCTCTCCCCAAATGTGTGTGGCAGTTTTACTGGGTTCCCTAGATTCCCCTTCCCAGTCCTTTAGGCTCTGCCCTGAAGGGTTAGCAGGCAGGAGTGGGGAGACATCTAGATTGCGTGAGCCTGCACACATGGAAGTCATTCTCAGGATTCCCCCCACCCCCTACTAGCTCTTCTTTCTCTCCCTTCCCAGAGCTATCCAGGCCACCCCCATCCCATCACACAGCGTTTGTGAGGCGTGAAACTTCAGGGACCTCTTTAAGAAAACACCAAGATATTTTCCTTTTGCAAAGTTTACCAGAACATGTGACCTTGTGGACACACTGCTGTCTCCTCCAGAACCCTGCCATTGAGGAGCCTGAAACATCAGCCTTACTGGCTCATGCAGAATCCACTTCTGTCCAGGGAGCAGTGGTCTCTGTTTTGGTGGCCCTCAGATGCAAGTCCACCCCATTTTGCTTCTCCAGGATGCTCTGCCCCAGCTTCCTCCCAATATCCACCCATCACACACTTCCAGAATAACCACAGCCCCATCCATGTGCTACTCAGCTGTGCTGCAAAACAGGCTAGTAGCCTGGGTATGCCCATCTCACAGAGGGGCAAACTGAAGCCCAGAGAGGTTGGAGAAATCACCCACATTCACATAACTCATCAGCCCAGAAGTCTGAGACCCACTAGGGTCTGAAAGACTTAAAACCATTGGCTAATGTCCCCCAAATATAGAGAGCCCTCTTCATCCTGAATTTTCAGGCAAGAAAGAACAAACAAGCCAGTAAAGGACAAAGACAGGAGAGCACTGCCAATTAAGGCTGGGAGGCTCCCACAGGCCACAGCTCCCAACCTAGAGCCCTCACTGGATCCCCCAGGCCCTCAGGGTTCCCATCCAAGTAGTCAAGCATGGCGCTGGGCCAAGCTTTGAGACCATTTTCCTGGGCATCACAGGCAGAGGGAAAAGCTGGGCACACACTGGAGTCACCCTGACTGTGGACCCTCCTGGTCTGGCCTGGGCTGTGACCAGGAGGGGAATCCCAGAGGGGCCTTGCTTTTCCCACTTACAGGCTCTTGCCCCCAGGAAGCCTGCCAAGATGAGATCAGTGTTGAGGCAGGGAGTCCTGTCCCAGAAGAAGGAAACACTCACATTTCAGGTCAGGGATGGGGTGCATAGTGAGGGGTAAAGTCACTAGGAGGGCAAGAAGCGAGGACAGCAGGGATGCAGAGGTGCAGAGGGACAGAGGGGATTCTGGGGTCGGAGGGGTTTGGCAAGAGCAGGCTTTTCATTTGGGTCGCTGCCTTTCCTTGGTACAAACCTTCCTCCAATAAAGCAAGTGGCATTCCGGCCCCATGAGCTCATGCTTGGGGCTTTGCTGAGCTCTTGGCTGGGGCAGGGAGCTGTCTGCTCCCCACCTGTGGAGGAAGAGTCCCCACTCCAAGACTGCGAGCCCCTTGGCCTCCGGCCCAGCCCAGTGCATTGTGGACTAAAAAGGAAGGGCCAGTGAGGGTTGGGGCCAGCATTCCGAAGACATAGCAGCTCTCCAGGAGGCTCCTGGACTGGTTCCGACTCTGGGCCCCCAGCCAGGCCGAGTGGACACGGAGGCAGATGGCATCTTCCCACAGCGTGGAAGCGGCACAGAGGGTGGGGAAGGAGAGGCT